TACGGATAAAATCGTTTTCAACAATTTAGTTTGACCATGCTCAAATCTGTAGACACCAAGTTGTGGTTGATCAACCCAACCGACTTACTCAAGTCAAATAACTCACTTACACGCTACCTTTCAACTATACGATGGTATATCGTCCAGGCGCCTGCGAGACTCAGGATAGGCCATCCCGCAGTACACCCATGCACTACAGGCAGGATATTGCCTACCTATGGGGCGCTATGAGAGCCTGCAGGTTGGCGGGTTCGTTGGAGAATGACGGACGTACTTTATAAATGAGTTGGCAGGTGGAGTCAATCATAGACGGATACTAAAGTGTTAAAATTCTTCTTATGATTTTTCGCCGCAATAACATCTTTGCCCCTTAGAACTAGCCTTTATCACAACAAATTTTGATTGTTCTCGTATTGTCGTTTGTTAGACGATCGGTCCGTTTTGCTTCGGAGACATTACGTTCCCCTTGTTACACCTTTTCGATGGCTTGTACCGACATGCTCCCCGGCGTGTGCTGGTCGCTGTCCGACACGACCCGCCCCGCGCTATGCCCTTTCGCTGGATGACCAGAGTTGTATCGTGAAATCGTAATGCGCCGTGTCGCTCGCAGCGCCGGGGCTCCACGCAACGTCCGCCCTTGTCAGAGCCATGTACCTGTCTGCTGCCCATCGAGTCCTGTCCCGTCTGTGACCCCTGACCCCGCGGCCCAGTCGAGGTCACAATGGCCTCGACGCAGGTCGGGCGTACTAATGATTCAAGAGATTAAAAACATTCCAGCCGGACTGCTTTTTTTCCCTCCCATCATTTTTGTTTGTAGTCTTTTGTGTTTTGGACATTTTTTTTTATCCATGCACCTGAAAGTGTCAGCCATGCGACTCACCACCTGAAGGTCGCGGAGTTGAGGGTGCGGGTGACGGCTGGCGCGCGGCGGGCTGCCCCTGCAGGCTCTAGTCCTCCAGGACGCCGACGGCAACGCCGCTCCGGGCGCCGCGCGCTAGCCTCGGCCACCTCGTCTCAGTGAGAGTGTGTGCGTCCGTGACGGTGCGGGAAGAGACCGGCGGGGAGGGGAAGGTGGTGGAGTACTTGGTCGCGCACACGCGCTTATTTCGGCCGCGGTGGGGCCAGAGCCTCGCAACGACTGTTCTCAGCGAGGACGCCGACGACAACGCCGGCAGCCATCGCGCGCCGTGGCCTTATACCCCCTGGCCCGGACGAGGTCCGCCTGCGCTGCGAGTCGCGCGGGGCGCTTCCATCCCCTGGCGCCTGCTGCGCCTGCTGCGCCTGCTGCGCCTGCTGCGCCTGCTGCGCCTCCAGCGCCTCCAGCTGCCCGCGCGGCGTGACGCTCGCGGCCGCGGCCTGTCGGGGAGCGCGCCTGGGGGCCTCGCTGCGGGGGCCTCGCGCCGGCCCGGTGGACAGAAACCAACTGTGGCTCGGGACCCGCCGAGCCCCCGCCACGGATCCCCGCCTTGGGGGAGGCGGCGGCGGAGGGGAGGGAGGGCGTGCACACCCCCGCCCCAGCCGCACCCCCGAACACACCGCCCCCTTCCGCTCATGACTGGCGGACGGCTTTTGTCGCGCGACAAAACCTCCGCTTCTCACGGCGACAAGTGCTATTTACTCATTGTTTCATTAAATTTTACTTCCGAGACTTTTCTTGCTGTCCTGTGAAACTGGAGGTTTTGAGGGAACGTCTATTTAGAGAGAATTGAATATCGAAGCAGTTTCTGCGCGCCAGAAGTTCGTATCAGCAGTTCATCTATATTATCTATCATAAAGTAAGTCCATAGTTTACGCTACAGCTGCGATGGCACACCCTGTTTAGAGTCCTGGGTTAGAAATTTTAAAATTATTAAAATTTATGAACATGAAAAACTAGAAATATTGGTTAATGCATGTTTGGGTACTTTTCCATCCGTTTTGGTACATTAGAATTGATACATCAAATGTAGGTTCAGCCAGTCCCACGGCACTTACTGGGTGGCCCACTGGTGCCGTTCCTATGGTGGCAGGTGCATACGCGCTCGGCCGCTCGGGGTCTATGGGTGAGCAACGATAGGAAAGCCCACCCGCACGCTTGCATCCGGTAGTAGTATGACCAGAGGAAAGGACGGCGCCGATGGGCCATCCTGTGCCTCGGCCACATTCAGACCAAATTTCACGTCAGTCGTCAGAGCTCAGAAAATAAGGCCTGGAGGCAGCTGTAAGGGCATGCTCATTCTCCAGTTTGAGAAGGTTATCATAATATTGATATCGCGGCTACTCGTTCTCATTTGTCCTTCTTTCGGTCTGCATCGGTTAAGATAGCAGTTAGGCATGCATCACGATTACATAAATGTATACAATTATTTCAAAGGGTTAAAACAGCTTAAAAATTAAGGGGACGAGGGGCGCGCTGACCAGCAGGCTTCGCCTCAACTCGACTGGCTCGACGCGCGCGGCGCGCGGCTCTCTTGCCCATAGATATTATTGTGTTCACGGAAACGAACCTACTAAAACCGACGGAATAGCAGAGTCTTCGAAGAAAGAGTGTGTAGGTTATTGCGAGGCGTCATGCGCATGTGCGTTCCCTCTCTCCGTCTAGTAGAGCACGTGGGGAGCACGCTAGACGGGAAACTCCTAACACGAGTGGTTTGTGTTGTGTGTGCAGTGAAACACATTCTCTCACACCATCCTAGAACTTTGCTTTATTATTTAATAAACATTTATCGAAGGAATTTTAGGAATGCGAACATCTGTGAGTATCGACGACAAACTAAAAACCTC